ATATATATATATACACACACATATACATATATATATATATATATACACACATATACACATATATACATATATACATATATATACACATATATACATATATATACACATATATACACATATATACATATATACACATATATACATATATATACATATATACATATATATACATATATACATATATACATATATATATACACACACATATATATATACACACATATACATATATATACATGTATATATACACACATATATATATATATACATATAAAAAGAATCTTATTTTAGAATAAGTTGGATTTCCTCCAGACTTTTTGCTTCTGAGCTGGAAATGACCTTCGGCTTGGCAGCGCCCCCTTGAGGTTCAAACTGACTCTGAACTTTCTCCTGCAGTTCCATGCGATGGTGGTGTCGTGCAGGTCCGGGTTCTTGGACTCCTCGTCGGGACTGAACCCCTCTCAGCACCTCGCCCGGCTCACACAGAGACTGAACATCTGTCTGGCTGACCACACACTCCTGCAGGTAAACAACAAAAACAGAGTCCGTTGGCCTGGACGTGTGTAAACATTTTGTTGTCTGCAGCTCAGAGGATCCATGCTGGCTCTGGGCCTTCTCACTCTGGAGCTGGAGAGCTGCTGCCCCGACTGGCTGGTTCTGACCATCGACCTGCTCAGGAGGACTCAGGTCAGCTTTGGGTTTAGTCCCACCGTGCTGCTTTGGGTTTAGGACGGTAATAAGTTCATTACATGAGTAATTTACACGAACAAGCTGATAAATAAGTTCAAAGTTTAAGTAAATTCATGCTAAAATCTTCTGGCTTTGAATTCCAATCAGAGTGAGACGTCTGATCTTTGTCATATTGTACGTGCAGCAGGTGAGGTAGTGAGTCCTCTCACCACAGAACAATCTTTGACGTCTTCTCTGTAAATCAAGAGCTTCAGAAAATAAGTTGGAAACAGTTTTTGTGCCTTGGGAGACGTTAGGCTTTTTACAAATTCATAAATAAATATATACAGCATCAAAGTGGGCCTCGTCAGAACAGTTCCAGCATGTTGGGGTGGAAATCAGAAGAGTTTATATCAGCCCATAATGTTGCCGATTGGACCCCAAATGTCTGAATCAGCCAAAATTATCGACCGGACCAGCATTCGCAGCTAAAATAAACCCTGAACATGTCTCAGCAGATGGACGCCTCACCTTAACATTTTAAAGGAAGTTTGTCCAGAAGAATAAATTAATTTGAGCCTTTCGGTTCACAAAGTTTCATTTTTAGAATCGTTTGTGTTACAAACCACTGAAGCTGATCCGATAAACCAGTTTAATGGGTTACTGGAAACACCAGATGTCCCAGCTTTTCATGAGCCTTGAACGCAGCATTACGTTTCTGGAGCGTGAACAGTCTCGACGTGAGAGACTTAGTTTAACTCGTGCAGCCGCGACGTTCGGATCAGCCTCCGGGTTTCAACCGATCAAACTGTGTCAGAGTTTAAATTTAAATAGTTTCCCCCGTTCAGTCAAGAGACGAACATTTCGCTGCATCTTTTAACATAAATTTATCGTTTTCTGTTCCAGATCGACAGCTCGGAGTTGATTCGCAGCAGAGAGCTCGTTGCACGCAGTCTGTCCACACCGAGAGCTTCCCTGCCTCCCAACACTGTCTACATCTACCAGCCCCTGCAGAACCCGGTACCGACCCGCCAGCTGGGTAGGTTTCGTCTGGACCCAGATAAAGATTAGTCAAATGATTAAACCTGTAATAAAAATAATTTTCCTGCAACACGTTCCAAAAACTCTTGCTGCCTTCAGGGACCACACGCAGTCCTTTGAAACCTCCTGCACCCTTGGGTCCAAACGACCCGTTGACCTCGCTGAGAACTTTGAGGCTGTGACCCAAAGGCAGCACGAGGGTCAAACGTGTCGCAGGAAACGTTTTAGCTTCCTGTGTAACTAACATGTGTTGTGTTCAGGGACCCTCGGCGCCTCCGTCCAGCCTCAAGCTGCTGCCGAGGAGGAGAGGAGCGACTCCTGCCCCACTCTGCTCCCACCCAGGCGCCCCAACCGGCTGCAGAAGGTCACCCTGCGCTGCAAGGCGTCCACCAAACGCAAGGTAAGCCCCGCCCACAGGAAGTGCACACGTAACCCAAAAGCCCCAACCAAAGGTGTCCCGTGTTTCAGGTGGAGCAGATGGACGTGGACGATTTCTACGACGGCATCAAACGACTCTACAACGAAGACGCCGCCGTCCAGGAGGGGGCCTCTTCCCCCTGTCCTCCTCTGCAGCGGGTCGGGCCCTCGTAGAACCAGAACCAGAACCAGCTCCACGACTCCTTCAGCAGCAAACAACTTATTTATTCTCACAAACCCTCAACACAACGGCAGCTCAACGTTTCCCTGCGTCAGGAGAGGCTGCTGCCGGAGGCGCCGTGGAGCCGGTCCTGCTCCCATCATGCCCTGCAGCAGGAAGAACAGAGCCCAAAAAAATATAAACGTCCCAAAATGTAAAAAAAAAATTAAAAATCTATTTGTTAAACACAAAAGTATAAAAAAAGAAAATGTTCTTTCCTCATCTTTTTGTTTTTAAACGTCTGTCAAAGTCTCTCACAGGTAAAACGTGCTAACGTTTGATTTGTTTAGCTGCCAATCGTTTCCCGTCTCTAAAAAAAGCCAAACTTTCCCTGTAGTCCCAATTATTTTGTCTCCTAGTAGCCGAAGGTGTTGGTAGAACGACGCCGATGAGTTCACAATGATCTTCCTGCGTGTAAAAAAAGCTCTGTTCCTCCTGCTGGAGAGTCGTGTCCTTGAACGCACCAATAAAGACTTCACATCAATTCTGTTGTTTTTTTTGTCTTCAAACTAATTTGACGTCATGTGAAACCTCCACCCAGGACCCTTGAGCAAGGCTGCAAAGTGCACTGCTGTGATTTCAGCAGCGTCGCTCTGCTCCGCAGTTGAATTTAGTCCAAATATGTGAAATTAATAATCCCTGAAGGACAACGCCCACTTTTCTGAACAGAACCAGCAAACAACGAAGACTTAGAGCAGAACGCTTCAACCTGAGCGCTAATAAAATACGCTAAAAGTAGGATTCAGACTGATGCTCCTGAAGTTATCCAGACTAGCACAAACTATACCCATCACATCCAGATGTTCAAAAAGTCTAATTAGCTTTTAGTTTCTCAGCTTTGATGGGCTATCTGCAACATGTAAGATATTTACTGGATCTTGTTTCACATAAGCTGATGTCAAAGAAGAACAGCAACAGACAGAGGAGTCAGGGTTCAACAAACAAAACAGGAAGTGAACAGCAACAGACAGAGGAGTCAGGGTTCAACAAACAAAACAGGAAGTTCCTGTTTTTAAAGAGTTCCCCTCTGATGTCACTTCCTGTTTCACCAAGTTCAACAGAACATGTAACAAAATGGCTACAATTACAAACGTTATGCCAAATTTCTTAAACGTTAAGAGCTTGTCTTCCACTTGTTATATTTGTAGGACATGCAAAGCTTTAACTTGAACGTGTTCAGTTTTTAGTTCCATCAGAGCGGGTCAGGTTTGGACCAGCAGGACTTCCTCCTGACGTGCAGATTCACACTGCAGGGCTTTTATTTTAAACGGTTTCACTGACTCCAGGAGGTCTCAGCGTGTTGGGTCTGGCACGGAGACCCTGAACCCGGGCGTGTTTGGTCCCGACCGGTCTACAGAACCAGCCTCAGACCTTCGGTTTCAAAGGAAACAGGATTTTCTGGGATTACAGGATTGTTGCTCGCATGAAGAAAGAAAACATGGAAGGTTTTTTTCTCGGAACAACTCGCTGCGTTTTACTGAGAAAGAACCGGTCGGACCAGAAAAACCTCAGACCTTCAGTTGGATGAAACCTCCTGGAGTTCAGTGAAAACGGAACCCAGCAGAGCGTGGACCTGCTCAGGAGGAAGTTCTGACAGGACCGAACGGGACCCGCTTTGACGGAACACGTTCCTGTTTGATCTGAGCCGCAGTGACAAGATGAGTCCAGAAGGACCGAAGACGTCCAGGTCCATCCTGACCAGATGTCTGAGCCTCAAACATCTCCTCTGGACGAGGAGGAGCAGGTTCTCCTGGAGAACTGAACTTCTCACAACACCCCCCCCCCCCCCCCACACACACACACACGAAGGTCACGACATGCAAACATCTACAGGTGCTTCTCAAAACATTAGAATATCAGGAAAAAGGTCAATACCATCCATCTATTCATCCATCCATTCGTCAGTCTAACCTTTCATCCATCCATTCACCAACTCGTTCATTTGCCCATCCTTTCATCCATCCATTCAATAATCTATCCTGTCATTCATCCATCCATCTATTCATCCATCCACCTATAGATTAATCTACCTATCCATCCACTTATTCATTTGTCCATCATTTCAGCCATTCATCCATCCACCTAGCATTCACCCTTTCATCCATCCATTCATTCTTCAGTCTAACCTTTCATCAATCCATCCATCCACCTATTCATTCATTTGTCCATCCTTTCATTCATCCATCCAT